CACATCCACGGAGCTCACTAGCACTTGACCGGAAAATTGGAATAAAAGCTTAGTAAACACCACAACAGAGCAGGTACGTGATCCTGGCGTCCCAGGATCATATCAGCCATGGAATGCAGCCCTCTTCGTTGGACAACCAACTGCATCCATGGGCTTGTCCCCCTGCTTAAAATTGAAAAGTAAAAACAATCCAACAGCATATTTTTTCAAAATATATACATAATCTAAGCAATTCATTGCCAATGGCCAAGGGGCAACCAGCTAAGAGGGGCTATGTGCAAGGTTTGATCTGAACCCCATCTCAGGACAAAATTGAGCATCCGTGAACAACCTCGAACTAAAGCAAGTCTTTTGCATGACATGCCGGAACCACAAATAGGGTGCCTGAAAACATCGTTTTTGATGTTGTATGGCATGTATCCTCTGGCGTCCTCAAATCGGCATCTGGCATCTGGGAAAAATTATATATGTATCCCCGGTGCTGTGGCTTCGTCAGTCATATGCCGATCATCTATGGCCAAAAAACACCCAGCAAAGCTCCACAACACCGCCACAATTTTTTTTAGCTTCTAAATGTTATATTGAAGTTTTATGTTGGCTCTGTAACATTTTAAAAGCTCCTTACTAAAGGCGTGCTGCCATTGATCTTTTTTTGCGCCCAACATCATTTTCACGATAGAACACATGAAAAGTATGATGAATCCGTATTTTCTACCTACGACCTACGAGGGTGGACGACCTAGTCCAGGTGTTCCAAGGTGCTCCTGCGCCTGCCTCTTCAGCTGCAAATCGTGAATCTCCTTCAGCACAGCCCGGTAGCCCATGTGCAGCTCACGCTGCGCTTGAAAAATTGCTTCCACGCGATTCATGATTTCACTGGACCTCAAGCAACATGGAACCCGTTGGAACCCGAGTGGCCACAAGAACGCCGACACCAAACAGTTCAACCGACCCACAGGATGTCAAGTTTTAAAACCTTCAAGCCTGGCCATTCAGGCCTTGTTCAATTCATGTTGGGGGACGGTCTAGGTTGCAAATCAGTTGAAGAAATTACCTATTCTCAAACTTTATGCATGCAAGAGTGCAACCTGCAGCTAACAGGCCTCCGAGAGTCCTTGTTCACGGGTAGGTCGCTTGCATTGGATGAAACGAATGTGCCAGGGTGGAGGGAAGCCAAACCGAAATCCTGGTAGTCAACTTGATTTCTTGAAGAATCTTTACGCAACTGTGCTCGCAATTCCTCGCACCATGCCTTTGTTTTGGCCAGCTCTTGAAGCACCAATTCGCCGGATTCCGACTGCCTTGTGGCGACCATCTGCTCTAGCTCTTGCGCAATCGAGGTCAAGGAGGGGCATATGTCTTCAAGCTCCAAACCTTTTGCCGATACCTTGTTGAACTCCCCATCTTTCGATCGTCTTCGGCTTCTTTGGACTTCAGAGCGGGTCTTAGCTAGATGTAATTCTTCTTGCACTGTGGCCAATTGGGATTTCAACTGCAAAACCTGCTCTCGGCCATGACGAGGGTCTCCATGGGCAATGCCAAGTTCTGCGCAGCCTGCAGACTTGCGTAAATGCTGGTGCTGCGCTGCCAAAATAGTGAGGCTCTCTTGCACAATTTGCTTCTTTGACAGCAAATCTTGCACCTCATGTTCAAATCCCCTTTCTCTGCACACTGCTGCGGTGTGCCAGTCTTGGACCAGCGGTGGAAGCCAAGTTCCGCAAGTTTTGAAGAGCTCCTTGCGCCATTGGTCCAGCTCCTTCCTGGCTTCGGTTGCTGACCTTTCCTCTACAAACTTGAGGTCTTCAGCATAGCGCGCTTCAAAGGCATGCGATTCCAGCTGATGCCTTTTGCAATCTGCCATGGTCCTGTGCAGTTCTTCTGTCAAAGCTGATATCTGTGTCTCCAAGGCTTGCCAACGATGTTGACTACCTGGGTGCTCGGGTGATGGAAAAACACCTATTTCTGAATGGTATGATGGCATTGGGATTGCGCCCGGGACAGGTAGCGCAACTTCCAAATGGTTTGCGAGGCTTTTCCAAGTACTTAACTTCATGTCGCTGGATAATGCGAAGCAGTGCGCTCGGGCCACAGCTTCAAGCGCAGTGCCCAGAATTTGTTGAACTGATCCTCGTGACAAGCCAGCCTTATCCAGTAAAGTCTGGCGGAGCAGGGAAATTTCAGATGCCATGTCACTGTTGAATTCCTCTTCGACCAAGTTCTGTTGTCGCTTCCTCGCAATTGACAATGCTTTTGCTACCTGCTCTCGGGTATCTGCAAGCAGCTTGTTCTGTGCCTGGTTCTGCCTGAGAAATATCTTTTCCTGGGCAATTTCCTGTAGCAAACCGCTCTGCTTGGATGACGCCTCTTGAAACTTGAGTGCAGCTGCCGCAGTTCTGGCTTCAGTTAGCTCTGCTTTGGCTTGTGCATCCACCTCTTGAAGCTCACACATTATTTTTGATTGTTCTGGCTGAATGTGCTGCATTGCCATCTCCTCCATGTGAATCTGAACATCAAGCTCCCTGAGTGCCGCTGACAAAAGCAAAATCTTTCCTGCCATTTCTGATGCCCCTTGCTGCCACATCTCAGCAGTATCGACTTGCGTGGAGCCTTCTTGCACTCGCCTGCACAAAGTGTACAAGGAATTTCTCGCATGTCTGGCCTTCTGGAGGTATGACTCCAGTTCTTGCTCGTTCTTTCCCTCGCGCCCTCGTTCAAGTTCATGACCGTAAACGTCCTTTTTGTTTGTGCACTCTAGCCTTTGTGTGCTTGCTTCAATGGATGCCACCGCATGCGTCAAAGCTACTCTGGCCCTGCTCCATTGTTCAATGCTCTTGTGGCGACTTCTGGCCTCCTTCAGCATAAGTCGTTCTTGCCCAACTTCTTGCTCCAATACATGGCACGCGGCTTGTGCATCTTGAAGCCTAAGCCTCTCTCCAATAAGATCATCGCACCACTCTCCTAGAAAGTCTTGGAAAAGCAAAAACGCTGCATTTCGTACCTGCATAGCAAACCCAGCTGAATCAATGCCAAGCATCTGGAATTTGACAGCAGTTCCTGCTCGTCTCTTGCGAGTTCGTCCTGGAGTTCTGTGGCCCGACAATTCAAGTTACCTACTTTGGGCAAAGACTGTCTGGAAACAACGACTCGGCCTCACCTCCCGAGGATAAAACATGTGCCTGTTCCAAGTTAATCAGGCTCAGCGCCTCACCATCACTTAAACTTCTTACAGTAGTCCAAATGCACGCAGAACAAACGTGGAGATTGGTCCCAGCGAGCCAACGTTGTCCTTGAGCCACTGCAAGTCTTCATCTCGAAATTTTGGATGTTTGAAAAGAACGGATTGATCTGGGACTTTGGTGACTGTGGGTATGCCGAAGAGGCTCGATCCACGGCTTTCCTCACCTCAGGCGGCGGCTCTCCGAATCAAAATGCAAACTCCTCAACATTCAACTTGTCCGGTTCTTGAAAGTGGTGCCCGTTTTGCTTGTGTGGATATTAGCGAGTGTCTTGTTTGAATGACTGTCTTTGTGGGCGAGTGTTGACACATGTTGACACACTTGTTTCTGGGCAAATGTGGGTCGAAGCTAGAATTTTGAGAACATTGGTATAACATCGGCGTTCCAACCTTCTTTCCCAACCATTTTTGTTTTCATAGACAGGCTATGCTTTTGTGATCGTTGGCCTGGGTCCTGAGATTTACTCAGTGATCAGCGACGTTGATCCTTGTGATTGTCTGTGCAAAGATCCGCATGTCAATCATGAGTGAATGACGCAAAATGCTTCTGCTCTGCGGGCAGGTCGGATCCACCTCAAAGGGCCTACTGTTAGTACTTGTTGCTTGTACCACTCACAGTTCTTGGCCGATGGTTTTCCTCTTCTTCCAGAGGCTCCATTCCTGTCCGGGTGGCCGGCGGTCACCAGACCCTAATGAGCAAAACGCCACAGCAACAACATCCATGTCGCCTCCACCTTTGTCATACCATACCCTACTTCAGTAACTGTGTGCAATCCAACAAATGTATTCTGATAGAACTCCACTGCTCCTACTGTCCAACCCTCCACCTTTCAAAAGCGAAGGGGTGCGTGGACTTTGATGTCTTTAGCACCACGCCACCAGCAGTTGAGGTGTAGGCAAGAGGAAACATCAGAAAGGAAGGGTGACACAACTGAGCCAATCTTGCTTTAAGAGAGCGAGGGAGGAGTATCTACAGCATCCTTCTTGCCAAGAGAAGTGCAAAAAGGCGCGTGGTGCATGTGAGAGAGGCGGAAAAATGTCGGTGATTATCATCTGAGAACCTCCATAATCATAGGGCATGTTTCACCATTGATGGTTTTCTATTTATCAATGCATCTATGACAGGAAGGTTTCCGATGGTTTCTGAACAATGTGCAATGCGACAAACCAATGAACACTTCCGACAAAAGCAGCTCAGGGGCGGCCAGCGCTGAGTTCTCCTTGGCACAGTTGCAGCTTTTGACGCAAAGTGTCCGCAGCATCCTCGAGTTCCACCTGTAGAGTTGAAGAACGCCCTCCAAAAACCAAGGACCTTTCGGAAAAACCTTTTTTCTGAGCGAATAGGTGACCCTCATGTTCTGAACTTCTGGACTCGGACTATTTTTGCTTCTGGACGAGGGATCTGCAACAAAATGGTCATATACCATCTAGGATTTACAGGAACGTCTAATATCCAACGCCTATCAACTATATAGTATATATATAGTTTTATATATTTGTGCAATATTATGTATAGTATGCATAAAAACATTTTGATCTGGGCCTTGAATTGGCGGCCAGGTAGTTCGAGTTGTTTCGCTGCCAGTTGTTTGGTCAAATGCTCCACTCTCTGCTCAGCTTCCTGACTCTCAGCTTGAAGCTTCACCACATCATTCTCAGCTTCTTGTGTGCGGCGCTCAGCTTGCATTGCCATCTCAGACAGAGCTTCGCAATCCGAGTCTGTGAAGTTTCCCCCTCCATCTTTCAAAGTAGCCAGTTCACTGCGAGTGGCTTGGATTTGTGTGCTTTCGGCCATTGCTGCTCGGGCCTTTGTTTGCTCTGCGATTTCTTCATAATGCTCCACCTCGACCTCGGCCTTCTTAAGCTCTTCTTCAAGACTTGCGATCACAACGTCCTTGACCTCTAAAATCGCAAGCGCTTTAGCGTTTTGAACATCGGCGTTTTGCCAATGACTCTGCATATTTCTAGCCACCATTCTTCAGCATGTTCCATTGTACTCCATGAAGGCTGCCTTCCAACATCTTTGGCTGGACAAGCCACATTAGAAACGGAGTGCCTGTGCTTTGAAAGTTGTTGATCGTGCATGCAGGGTGTCTGCTCAATGTCATGCATTGCAATGACTCGAACATACTCGAACCATGGAATCACAACAGCTACAGCTAAGCCAACATGATACGTATAACATTAATTATGTAGAAAACACTGGCGGCAAACCGTAAACCTTTTATTCATGCTGCAAGCTATTCATATCCCAGTGCAACATGTTCCCTGACCTTGCCAAACGATATATAGTTTGGGTTGGCAAATGTCTGCAATATTCACAGGGAAAACCTTGAAGACGTCCATTGCTCCATTGCTCTGGCATTGTGAGAGGCACATAACGACGTGAAATGTAAGCCCCGGGACTCGTTTGTTTTCAGCCCGCTCAGCCGCACTCCTTTCGGTCATGTTTTTGCAAAATCTATGTGACAGACTCGTCATGACATAAATTGTTTGTGACAAATGCCGCCTGCGGTGAACAGTGATTGCAACATCATACAGTGCCTTGTTTTTTTGATCTGTTCGTCCAATGCACCAACCTGCAATGGCAAGACCGACTCTTGTGATTAAAAAACGCCCGCCCATTCTGATTCTCAAACAACATGTGAAGAGTAATGCCCGTTCTTGAATGCGATCAGCGCCTCCAACTCCAGCGCAGCATCATCGCCAGGCATTGCAAATTCCGAGAACAACAAGCAACACAAACCCTGTGATGCGCACATGCTACATGTTTGGACATTTTTGTGAAAGTCCTAGAGGCACTGATGGAACAAATGTTGGTTGACGGGCTTTGGCAGCAATAAATGAAATAGGACGAAATATGCATTCAACATCATTCAATGGTGCCTGTGGATGCCTGTGGTCTGTTGTCTGGTTCCTCCAGCGATTGATCAATCGTTTCAGTTCAATTGCAATGGTTCCATTGAGCCAAGCCTGGCCAATGAATAGAATAGTAATCCTCTGAGCCGTGTGGTCACACTATGGGTTCTACGGCAATAGTGTGGGCTGGATTTGATCGAGGCTGCTCACATCCGTCGGCAGCGACTTCGAGGTGCATACATGGAGTTACTATGGCTATTATGACTGGTCGTTGCTCATCTTGGTTGGTTAAATTGCCTGTTGTTGTTGTCGTCCTCCACATTCTTTTTAAGAGTTTTTGTTGTTCAATCTCTACTCCTTCCGCCTCCTTCTCCTCCTCCTCCTCCGCCGCTCTTTCTCCCACACACTCACCCCACATCACACACAAGTTACGCTAGGCCACAAAACGTTCGTGTTGCAGGCGCAGCAAACAGGACAAACAGGTGCAAATTGTTACGTTAAATTTTGCGTGAGCCGTTTGGTTGCCTGTACTGGGCTTTCTTCAAGTGGCCAGCATGTTCGTGCAAAAAAACTTACCTCAAGCCTTGACTAATCTTAATTTAATTCAAGTCTCAAGTTTCACATTTATATATATATGATTATATGTGTTATCGGGGTTGGTATTAAGTGGGTACCTTGGGGGGTGCGATTTTATAGTGCTAAAATGCTGGGACCAACCCCCCTCCAATGAGGGTCACTGTTTGACCCTATAAAATTGAGGATAACATAGGAAAAGAGCCCGAATACAAAGATTTAGTTCTATAGAATTGAGGGCGATTAGTCTGTCAAAAGCTGTTGAAAGTTGTGAATATTAAGGGTTTTTGTCTATAAAATTGCGGGTCCCAAGGTACTCCCGAACAGGTGTTGTCGAGTTGTAATCTGAACCTGGTTCTCTGTTAGAGTCAAGGGCCATGGGTCTCAAAAAACCTGTTTCTGTATAGAATCAAGGGCCATGGGTCTCAACAAAACATAAAATTCCAATTTCAAAGGAAGGTATTGATTTGCCAGTTGGTAGGACCACAATTCTATAGAGAAGACAGCAGGTGTTATGGAGAGGATTGGAGAGGTAAGGATCTGTGATGATCTCTGATTTTATAGTTCGCACAGCAAATGCCAAAATGGCAAAGCAAATTCTTACAATCCTAAAAAGCCATAGTTCGCACATCTTGTGGATCTGAGTGAAATTGAATGAAATTGAAATGTATTGCATTAGGATGCATCAAGATCTTTCAAAGTGTTTCAATGTATTTCATATAAGGCGTTCCCTTGCTAGGATGCTCCAAATTTGCTAGCGTCATCATGCGTCATCCTGACTCATTCAAGAACCCATTCCCCAGGGTTCTTTTGAGCAATCCCAATTGGAATCAAGCCAAGAAAAAGTAATCTCTATAGAATTGCGGGTCATGACATCCAAAATCATAGAAATCATTCTCTATAGAATCGGTATGCCCCAATCATCCAAAATCCCTTCACTATACTTACAAGCCTCATCAAGCCTCTATAGAATCAAGCTTGTAAAAAACAACAATTCTCTATAAAATCGAGGCTCTTGAAGGACAGGACTGTAAAAGCTCCATATGAGCCAAGAAAAATTGGCTAACAAAAAAGATCTTTTCGGGGACCCAACCCCCGCGATTCTATAGAGGAAATTCCATCCCCTATTATATGTTGGACTTTTGGGTTTGGCCGCCAGACAACGTAGAGAGGCTTTGCAATAGCAAGGCAAACTGCGGCCTGCCGGGGGAAACATGTTGAGAATCCGACATGAAAAATCATGAAAATACAGTACATGAAACATCCCCCATGAAAATGGCATGGAGGGGTCTGGGGAATGGTCAGCTCCCTAGTGATGAAGAGCGCAACTTCATGAAACAGTTTTCGCAATGGAAAATGAGTGGAGGCTCCCTGAGGTGCTGGAACAAAAATGTGAAAGAGTCACTCTGGTGGCCGATGTGTTGCGGTGTTGTGATTCAGGACATCTATGTCGTTCCTCGATCTTCGGTCAGGGATTCCGCCTTGTGTGTGCCTTCCAAGGTTTCCAAAGCTGCCATTTTCCAGGCCACCTTTAGTAGAGATCACCGTTTATATAGTGCTGGTGACAAGTTCATCCTTCGTCTTCAGGTGCCCGATGAACATGACTTGTTCACATTGAGCGAAGTCTGTGCAGGCATTGGAGCTCTGGTTGGCCGCCAGGGGTATTGAACGAGATCAATCCTAAGTTCACCGACATCTTGGAGGTGAGGCATCCAGGAAGAGTTGTCACAGGAGACATCAGCGCAATCATTGCCGTGCATGAGAAGCAACCGGTGCCTTCGGCCGTTGCTGCCGGATATAGTTGCCAGCCATTCTCGCGAGCTGGAGACCAAAGGTGTGAGCAAATGGACGATCCAAACATTGATACAATACTTTGGTGTATGCTTCGTGTGTCTCAATCACCTTTGTTGATTTTGGAATGTGTGGCTGATGCTTCATCTTCCCAGTGGGTGAAGCAATAATTGCAGGTATTTGAGCAACAAACTCGCATGGTGCGTAGTGAGATCATTTTGCAGTTGCATAATCCTTTGCGTCGCAAGAGGTGGTGGGTGGTCTTTGCCCACCCTAGGGTCCGTAAGGTTTCGCTTTGTGACCTTCCAAAGCTGATGCAAACACTGTCTATATGAGTGATGTCATCCCACATTTCCTGACAGCGCAGGATCATCAGAGAGGTTGCATTGGACGCATCCAGACCTGAGCCAGTTTTGCCGATATTCGTCCGTATTCGTCGGTAGACGACCTGACAGTGCGCCCACTGCTTTGCACTCATGGGAGCGCCAGGTCTCGCCTGTACGTGCGGATGTCGACTTGCCCTAGGACACTACAGGCTAGAGGTCCAAGGCATTTTTGCAGCCCTTGTGAAATCCGAACGCGCTCCACTTCCGCCACCTGTCGGTTCAGGAGGCCGCACTGCTCAATGGACTGTCCTGGACGTACCAACACCAAATTACGGGCAGGTTATGGAATTGTGCAGTTGGCCAGTCCTCTTCAGACAGCTGGGATTTTCTCATGCGTTCGCCAGCAACTGCAAGCAGGTGGACACCAGCATGCGCAGCATACCTCAGTTCTTTTGGCTTTTCGCAACCTTGTGCGATAATTTTTTGCGTTGCCAAAATTAACTGTCTGCAGGTGTCAAGACTGCTGCCGTGACCTTGTTTGAAGAACAGATCAGGCAGCTCTTAGGCAAACCTAGCGTTCCTTTCTTCGGTCGCATCGAGTTGCCATCCTCTTGCCAGGACATGCCAGCAGAGAGTCCGCTTGCTGACGGGGAACCATGGTTTTGCGACAATGACCCGTGCCCACTCCGAGATGAGCTCCGCAGTGGGTGTGCCTCCATGATATCTCACCCACAATGTCTTTTTCTGTTCGGACACATCCCGACGCGAATTTCCAGAGAGCACTGGAGCCATTCCTGGTTTTCGTGTTTGGTTGCCACATCATGCACACGAGGCTCAAGTGACTGAGCCACCAGGGTGAGTAATGACGAGGGTAGCCAAACACCGCTGAGCCCACGATTTGGGGGATGGCCACAATTGGCATAGCTGAGAACCTCCACACAAAAAAAACTTTTGAAACATATTCATATTTCTTGAAAAATGTAGTCGTTGACAATTTATAAGAAAACGGGTTTCTCATAATTGGCAATCCTCCAGCCCATGCGCGCAATGCGTTTCATTTCGGTGGGTTTGTAGCTTTTTGTGGTTCATATTCATGAGAGGTTGCAGGAAACATACGAGTATGAATACATATGCTCACAAATCTGTTGATTTGCATGAAACATTGCTGCGTTGTCTTCATGGGCTGGTGGAGGAATTATAAACAAGGATTACATTGTTCAACAAAAGATGTATTCTTTTCCGAAAGTTATATTTAGTTTGTGTGGGGTTTTCTGCTCACTGATTCTTTTTGCGGAATTTGGCTCCCAGAAAAAGGGATACCGATTTTTCTTATACCTTTTCTGAGAGCAAAGTTCCGAGCAAAGTAAGTTCCACCCAAACAATCCTATCTTTTTTCCGGGAGCAAAGTTCAACAAAAATACAAATGTTAATTTTTAAAAGGTTGCGAATATCTTTCTGGATTTTTTTTCGTTTTCTTTTTGGCTTTTTTTTGTTTTTCGTGTTTCGTG